AGACATCTTTTATACAAAGTCACATTTATATATGATTCAGGCCAAAAATATCATTACAAATATGTAGGATAGATTGTAAACTACCCAAGGAACCCATACTGCCTACTGCCCTGAGGGTAGGGGGTGGGTAGAAGGGATATAGTGAAAATATGAGTTGACCCAGCATTAAAGTCCTACCACTGCTCAACTAACCATTTTCGATGCTTTGGGTCTTTGAATTTTCCCACACTCAATTTCTTACCCATTTCACTTCCTCAGTACTCAATTCTTGGTTGATTTGTCTGTAAATTTATGTCTATGATACTTAAGATATTTGAAATGTACCCCAGGTTTCTGATTATGAAGATTCAATGTTTTGAAGGCATGGGCCCCTTATCAGGCAAAATGGCAAGTATGCACACTAGCTCACAAACTCCAGCCTATTGTGAGCTGATCTTGGTCATAAGAAGCAAGAATATAAGCTATGCTCATTATATATTAAAAGGTTGGATCATGGATGCAAGGGCAAGATACTGAAAATTGTGAAAAAATGTCACAAGTGCAATTGTCTATGCTTTGTTCCTGGAGAAGGATCCTGTGTGTCCTGGGCTGGTTATATGATATATCTACTCCGAATATGCTCAGGAATAGACTCCCTACAGTCCTTGAGGTCCAGCTTTACAGGGAAAAACCCCCAGCGGGTGAACCACCAGAAGAGGGGGAGGTACACTATACAATAAAGGATTACCCTATGGTCCTGAGCTCCTGATACATTGTTTCTATTGTTGAATAGATGATTGAGATATAATTCCAAAGTCTGTTCACCTAGAAATGAACACATAGGAACATATTTTGTATTTTTATGTATATATGCAATATCCATTTAAGCACCAAGTCTCAACTACCGATTACCAAGTCCCGACACTTGATAGTTGATAGTCAGTATTTGAGCTCCGAGTGCCAATATTGCCTACCAATATCTCAGTCAAATGATAACCAAACCAAGACCCAAGTTCCAAACCTGACTACCGAATATCAAATATCAGTACTCGGGACTTGGGACTATTGGCTGGAGTACCCAACTATTGATTCCCAGGTACCGAGAATTAGAACCAAGTACCAAGTACCTGACTACTGATTCTCAGGTACCAAGTATCAGAACCAAGTACCAAGTACCCGACTACTGATTTGAAGTACCGGGTTTCGGGTTTCGGCACTCAACACTTGGTGATTTGTGCAATGAGTAGATGGGCATGTGGCATACATGTTTTTGGGCTTCAGGTTTTAGGATTCTGCCCTTGGCACTCAATGAACTGTGTAATGTAAATGAACAATGAACATGTTGCACACCGGGTTTCGAGTTTTGGGTTTCGGCACTTGAAACTCGGTGATTTGTGCAACAAGTGAAAAATGGAAATGTTGCATACATATTTTCAGGTCTCGGGGTTCGGGTTTCGGCCCTCAGCACTCAGAACTCAATGAATTGTGTAATGTACATGAAAAATGGACATGTTGCACACTGGGTTTCAAGTTTCACGCTTTGGCACTCGAAACTCGGTGATTTGTGCAGTGAGTGAAAAATGGACATGTTGTGTACATATTTTCAGGTCTCAGGCTTTGGGTCTCAGCCCTCGGCACTCGGAACTCGATGATTTGTGTGATATAAATGAAAAATCAACATGTTGCACACTGGGTTTCAAGTTTCATGCTTTGGCAGAACTCGAAGTTGTTGATTTAGATATCACCCGAAACCTGAACACCCAAATGTCAAATTTTCAGTGCCGAACCCCCAACCCTGACTGCCGGGTGCCGAGTCCCGAAGTCCGGAACTCAGGATTTGACATTTGAGATGAACGAAATTTTTCAGACATGTTTGAATTAATCTACATATATCTATAAACATTTCACTAACCCCTGAACCCTGAAAGATATTTTTGTTGTCTTACATACCAAATTCCGAGTTCCGAGTTCCAGGACCCCCGGACCCCCGAAACCTGGCAGTCCACAATTTCGGAGTTCGGGGGTTGGTAAAATGTGTATGGATATATGAAGGGTTGGTTTAAACATTTTAAAAGATGTCTCATATCAAATGTCAAGTCCCAAGTTTCGATTTCCGGGTTTCAAGAGTGCTGAGTCCCGAAGCCCGGAGTCCCGAAACCCGGAGTCCTGAAACCCGGAAATCAAAACTCGGGACTTGACATTTGATATGAGACATCTTTCAGAAATGTTTCAATCAACCTTTCATATATCCATACACATTTTACCAACCCCTGAACCCCGAAATTGTAGACTGCCAGGTCTCGGGGTTCGGGGGTCCCGGAACTCGGAACTCGGGAAATTTGGGGAGATCAATAAAATTTGATTTACCCATGTTTAAAATATATTTTTGTTCTACATACCGAGTTCCGAGTTCCGGACCCCCGAACCCCGAGACCTGGCAGTCTCGGGGTTCGGGGTTCGGGGGTCCTGGCACTCGGAACTTGGGGAGATTTGGGGAGATCAATAAAATTTGATTTACAATTGAGTTGATTGGCAAACACATTGACTTACCCATGTTTGAAATATATTTTTGTTTACACATACTGAGTTCCGAGTTCCGGGTTCCGGACCTCCGAACCCTGAAACCCGAGACCCGGCAGTCCACAATTCTGGGGTTCGGGGGTTGGTAAAATGTGTATGAATATATGAAAGGTTGAATGAAACATTTTTGAAAGATGTCTCATATCAAATGTCAAATCCCGAGTTTCAACTTCCGGATTTCGGGAGTGCCGAGTCCCGAAACCTGGAGTCTTGAAACCCAAAATTCGAAACTCGGGACTTAACATTTGATATGAGACATCTTTCAAAAATGTTTCATTCAACCTTTCATATATTCATACACATTTTACCAACCCCTGAACCCCAGAATTGTGGACTGCTGGGTCTCGGGTTTTGGGGTTGGGGGGTCCAGAACTCAGAACTCGGTATGTGTAAACAAAAATATATTTCAAACATGGGTAAGTCAATGTGTTTGTCAATCAACTCAATTGTGAATCAAATTGTATTGATCTCCCCAAATTTTCCCAAGTTCCGAGTTCTGGACACCCGACACCCGAAACCCAGCAGTCTTGGGTATCAGGTGTCCGGAACTCGGAACTCGGGGAAAATTTTGGGAGATCAATACAATTTAATTTACAATCGAGTTAATTGACAACACATTGACTTAATCATGTTTGCAATATATTTTTGTTTAGACATACCGAGTTCCGAGTTCCGGACACCCGATACCCGAGGCCCGAGACTGCCGGGTTTCGGGTGTCGGGTGTCCAGAACTCGGAACTTGGGAAAATTTGGGGAGATCAATACAATTTGATTCACAATCAAGTTGATTGACAAACACATTGACTTAACTATGTTTGCAATATATTTTTGTTTAGACATACCGAGTTCCGGACACCCGATACCCGAGACCCGGCAGTCTTGGGTTTCGGGGTTCGGGGGTCCAGAACTCGGAACTCAGTATGTCTAAACAAAAATATATTGCAAACATAGTTAAGTCAATGTGTTTGTCAATCAACTTGATTGTGAATCAAATTGTATTGATCTCCCCAAAATTTCCCAAGTTCCGAGTTCCGGACACCCGAAACCCGAAACCCGGCAGTCTCGAGTTTCGGGTGTCTGGAACTCGGAACTCGGTATGTCTAAACAAAAATATATTGCAAACATGGGTAAGTCAATGTGTTGTCAATCAACTCGATTGTAAATTAAATTGTATTGATCTCCCCAAATTCTCCCAAGTTCCGAGTTCCGGACACCCGATACCTGAGACCCGGCAGTCTCGGGTTTCAGGGTTCGGGGTTCGTGGTTCGGGGGTTGGTACATCTCGGTTTGGGGTTTGGCACTGAAAATTTGACATATATATTTTTGTGAGTGTTGTGCTTCTGGTGTCCATGCTTAGAAATAGGATTTGTTGCACACCAGGGTTCAGGTGTGGGGTTTTTCCACTTCAGTCCTGGATTATTGGTCAATGCCACACATGATTGATTCATGTTTTTGTGCTTAGGGGTTTAGATTTGGTGGTTGATGGTAGGTATATGCACTCATAGTGTACATGTATCCTATGTGTTTGATTCGCTGGTGGCTACATCAGCTGTATGTCTTGATGGAACATATCTAGGCTCACCCATATATGTAATACACCCCCGTCGGCCCGCCCGTCTATGTATTATCCCCCACGTCAGCCAACCCATCTATGTAATACATCCTATGTTGGCCCACCCGTCTATATAATACATCCTACATCGGCCCACCCGTCTATATAATTATACCCCACCTCGGCCCACCTGTCTATGTAATAAATATTTTATAGCACCCTCGGCCCACCGGTCTATTTGATATCCCTTTCGTCGGCCCACCCATATATGTAATACATTCCACGTCGGCCCACCTGTATATGTAATACACCCTACGTCAGCCCACCCGTCTATGTAATATTTCCCTACCTCGGCCCACCCATATATGTAATACACCCACGTCGGCCCGCCCGTCTATATAACAATATTTGCCTTACATCTCTCTTCAGCCCAGCTGTCTATAATATCCTACTCTACATATTACCCAGATGGGCCCACCCATCTCCATGAATGATCATATTCCCCCGGCCCATCTGTCAACATTAAGGATATATATATCATTGGCATACATGGGCCCACCCGTCTCCATCGGAAATAATATGTGTCCCGGCCCATCCGTCATCATCGAGAATATACACAACATGGGCCCATGATCAGCTGGCCCGTCTCATACGGGATATTATGGAGGTCGGGTGGCCCGTATAATACGGAATTTGTCACTGAAGGGGCTCCTCCTCTAGGTGACAGCTGCTGGCAATTGACATTCGTTGGGCTGGTTATTGTGCCTGGGTTTGTCAGAGTCATGGGCTCGTTGAGGAGGTGTACTATGAAGTAAGTTGTTGTCAAGTCTGATGTTTGTCGACCTGATTTGTAGTGCAGTCTGTTCTTAATGTTCGTGGCATTCATGCTATGTCTCTTGAGCCTGAAGAACAGGCTCAGTTCGACAAGGCTACTTCACAGTACCTTGCCACTGGTGTCCTCGGCACTTTCGTCGAGGGGTGCTCTTATTGTGTCTCCAGCGCTCTCATCTACTTAACCAAGGCCCTCGTTGGCGCCGTGCTTATCGTCAAAGGCACGTAAACATACCTCTAGATGTGTGTCAAGTCTCAAGCATCTTCACGACCGTATTGCCATTGTCAACCAAACTTCCAACCTCTTTCGATGCCAGCATCCGAGAAAACATTGCCTACCAACGAGTCAGCAAGGACAATGGGATTATCAACGCAGACGTCGAGCGCACTGCTTGTGCAGCGAATGTTCACGAATCTGTGATGTCACTTCCACAGGGATATGACAGCAAGAACGTGTCCCTCATCTCAGGTGGACCTGATTTTGGACGAGCGTACTTTCATCGCTCGATCCTGCCAACTAAACAGTTGTCCTAGAGACGATACGGGCTGCTAAGGTTGGTAGGACTACTATCATGATGACAGCTCGTAACGAAGATGTGTGACCATATTCTGATTGTTGAGGATGATTTTTGAGAGTCTCATGGATGACAAATGGCCTCTTTGCCAGACTTGCGAATGGTGGAGATTGGGTTCGCGAGGAAAGGCTCATTGGTTGCTGTATTTGTTTCTTTTTACTATTGGATGTTCTTATGTCCTAACAGCTGTAGCTTACTGCCAGTGATAGCTATACTTTCAACTTTCGCTCCATACTGGCAGCTACCCCATTTCAGCATAATGATCACGTTGTGGGCAACTTTTTTGATGGTCATGAACATTCACGAAGACCAGCTCTGAATGTATTGGCAGTTGCCCATGCATAATTTATTTGGGGAAAATCACGCCCGACGATGGTTTTTGTGATCAAGCAATTGCACTTAAGGTGTCTTGGTTTATTCAGAAGGTTTTGGCTTTGATTTTAAATTCATGCTGTACTGGCGAACGACTGAAACTCCTTGTTAGGTGCGCCACAGGTAACAGCCACAGCCTCGACCGTGACATGCATTAATTTTGGCTTCTGCCAACTTAAGTAATTAAGGTTGGTTGGCTCGTTATTATTAGCTTGTGGCTCAGTGTTATGAACTCGCTGGCTGATTACGAAACAAGCCAGAGACTCGCCAAGTGATGAATACTACTGCCATTTTGGCATAAAAACGCCCTGCCAGTTGGGCGGGGTTGGCCAGTATCGATGGACCAGGCCTTGTTCACCTTCATCCTCGTCGGTCATAACTGCACCCCTACACGATGAAGGCAACAATCGCAGATTAGCCAAGCTTATTACTCAAGCTATGCTATGCACCTTTTCCCTCCTGCACTACGACACGAAGTCAAAAACTATGATTGATTGGGAATGGTATGATGTCTTTATCATGTATACATTCAAATATCTTACCAGGACTTGATGTGATGCAGGCCTACTGACGACCAGAATAACATGATTCCTCCGGATCAATTTGAGAACTATAGAACAGAGCACCATCTCAAATATCCTTGCTGTCTTTGTGCTGATGGAACTCAAAAAACCTATGTCGAGTCTATTGTGTATCCTTGGTGGAATGCGACAACAGGAACTTTGGTATGGACAACTAGATGTGCTACAGATAGTTGCACATATGAAGGTTCGTTTTTTTTGCTTGGCATTATATTATTTTACTGACCACTGATGATCATTCAGTTAAAATTGACAGATATTTTCAGCTATTGTCACAAAGTACTCATGTTTATCGCCGCAGAGGTTAGTCTTACTCTACTACGCAGATTGAAGTAGTACTGATGAAGTGACAGAATGTCAACCGCCAGTCATCTTGCAGATGTGGTCTTATCGAGAACAAGACATTCTCTTTTCTAGGCTTAGCTCATTCACTAGCGGTGGAATCAGCAAAGAGGAGTTCCAGATATTGTTCAAAACCTGTGAGATTTGTGATAGAGTAGGGGACTAGGCGTGCTATGAGGTCCCACTAGTGCCCAAGGATTACTTTCAAATAAGAGTATTATATTGTATGTAGACTCGTGTTTGCTGAGTTGATTGATGCAATTGATACGAAGTTGTTTCTTATCAAAGTGAACCCTCAGTCGCACAAATTCCCACGTTCAAGCACACCACGTTCTGTACCACTAGCTCTGTACATACATAATGATATCAAATCTCAATAACCGTCTTTCATCTCTCCTTCCACCATCTACAATTTCACGTAAAGGAGCCCTTGCTCTGTCCTCCTCCACTGCAGGGGTAGACGGGCTAAGATGGTGGATTTATTGTCAGTCAAACCCCACGGTCAGCACCCTTTACCATTGAATTATCTTCATCTGATGTTTCATATGCAGCTTCAATTTGAACTCAGATTGCTGCTCTTCCTCCTGGAAGGACATGTCTACTCTGGTGATCTATGGCGTCTTGTCATGGCACGCCAGATAGAAGTTATGCAAGAAGAAAGGTTCAAGGTGTACAAGATACAACCGCAGAATCATACTAGCTCAAATCACCTTGCAATGGAACTAGAGTTCTTGGAAGATAAGAGGGATAGGGCTCAGTTGGAATTATCGCTATACTCTCAGGCCATGGATGTCTTCCGGCCACACTTAGGATGTATGTATGCTAATCAATGTATTCTGCACGGAAATATTAATAATTATTTGGAAGCGTCATGTAGACGCCCTGTCTCTAGGGCTGATGGGTGCTTGTCGAGCAATTTCTCAAGAGTTAGTTCAATGAGTTTGCACCAGCCAGAGTTGGTGAACGCTAAATGTAGCAAGTGGTTAAGTGGCATGGCGACTGGAGTTTCCGGTGATACTGGTCCTGCTATAGGTGATGTGACTGATGAATCAACATCTGTCACATCTAAACTCCTGACGATATACAAGACACTGGTGTTACCCGAGGTGAGCACGATAACCACCATCATTGGATTTGCTTCCATGATTTCTGGTAGATTGCCTGCCGCCCTTATGGGATGGTCAGTACGTGGGTGGAGGAATGCATAGAGGAATACTACATGGACGATAGGGCTACGGAAGGAGCTTCCTTGCAAATTCTAATATTGCAAGCTAGCGACTTATCCAACCCTGAGGCTGAAGTACGTTTTCTTGAAGCAGAGTTATCTCTAATGCAATCAATACATCGGCGTGCTCAAACAGAGGTCGAACTCCTCTCAGACGCCATACAATACCTCATAGAGAGTGACATGAGTGAGTGCTCTACATAGTATTCACAAGAACAGAATCAAGCTAATTCATGTCGGGCAGTATGCTCCATAGCAGGCACCACACCATGTCGTCGCTCATTTGCTGATCAGTATGAGCACATATTCGATAGCTCTGACACAGGCGATTGTTGGTCTGACTCCTAAACACATCTCTGCACAGCCCTTTACGGTGTACAGTAATGATTACCCACTTGATGAACTCGGATACTTAACCACGCATGTTGTAGTATATATATATACTTATATATATGTGTCTTTAGAGCGATGATTGTATTGGAATCTTGGGCAGACTCACATAAAAAGATTGTAGAGTACAACAAGTATCTGAATTGTATGATGCCATGATATCATATTGATGTTTGTCACAAAGAAAACTCGAGCTCATCGTTGTCAGGCGCCTGACAATGATGAGCTCGATTTACCAGTGCTTACTTAATCTCACATGTATGGCTCAGTGCGGTGAGCCAATTTCATCATCCACGTTCATCGCCCGCTCCTCCCTGTCAATGAAATAAAGTTTTGCGTGGTCTTTACCACATATCTCAACATCAATTAAGCCTTTCTATGAACCAGGTCATCCCACCCAAATTCACATGTAATTGTGGCCGAGGATTTCAGCAGGAAAGTGCATTCACAAGACACCAAAAATCTTGCGTCAAGGGCAAAAAGCGTCTTTTCTCTGCTTTGAATAAAGCCAAAGATCTTCTTGGGTCTGTCAAAAGGGCTCGTACATGTCTTGGGGATCGGGGAGGCTCATCACATCCTATTTCTCCCGATACTAGGCCAACTTCTCCAGCCTTAGATCTTCTAGTCACCGGAAATGATGCTCCCAGGGTGGATATCATCTCCACCTCCGAGTCTTTGTTAACAGAAGAAATCACTGCCCCTGCACCCCTCAGTGTTAGTGGTCAAGAGGATTTACCCTTGGCCCAGCGTAGGACTAGACGTCAGGACATTCAGTTACCTAGACGCTACAGGCAATTTGAAGATATACTACCTCAACCTCTTCCAAGTGTGCCCACCAACCACATCAATCAGTCTTCAGACTCTCCCCCACCCCCTCATACTCAGTCTTCAAAGGCACTACCTCCTTTTCGCACTCCTTGTAACATCTTTGGGCTCCTGTGCCAGTTCTTCTCCCCAAACCCACCATCTCATGATCCTGAAGAGGTGATCACGCTAGAGGATATAAGTACTATTCCTGGTAGCGGGAGGGAAAGACTTCCATTAAATGGCGAGACACCCACTTTAGATGAAGCTTCTCCTTACTACCCATATACCAATAGATCATCCTTGGAACTAGGCGATTGGTATTGGAATGGGGGGGGGGGGGGGGGGGGGCACAGAAATCTCAGCAAAGCTTCAATGACCTTATCAATATTGTCACAGATTCAAACTTTGATCAAGATGGTGTTCGTGCGACGCCTTGGAGGAAAATCAATTTGACTTTAGGCCAGAATGACTACGAGGAAGGAAATGAAGAATGGGAAGATGAAGACGCCGGCTGGCATAAAACTCAAGTATCTATTCAGGTTCCCATCGCACATACCAATGAGCAAGCGGGAGTTCAAACATACTCTGGGGTGGATCTATATCATCGCTCTCTAGTTGGTGTCATACGAGAGAAGCTGTCAAGCGCACGTGATGATGAATTGTTTCATTACGAGCCATACGAGCTCCTATGGCAATCGGACCATCTTCAAAGAGAGGTAAAAATCCAAGGCGAGCTGTATCAGTCTTCAGCATTTATGGACGCGCATCAGAAACTACAAGAATCTCCCAGGGAACTTGATTGTGATCTACCAAGGATGATAGTCTCACTCATGTTCTGGTCAGATGCTACGCACCTCACAAGTTTCGGCAATGCCAAGCTCTGGCCAGTTTACTTATATTTTGGGAATGAATCGAAATATCGTCGCTGCAAACCTTCCTGCCATCTAAGCAATCATGTAGCATATTTTCAAAAGGTAACTTTCCTATCTGTTTTCTTTCGTCTTCAATAACTCAACTATTGTACGCAGCTTCCAGACTCTTTCAAAGACTTCACTTGCGAGCATACAGAAGGGAAGGGTGTCGGACGAGAATGTACGACGCACTGCCAGAGAGAGTTATTCCAGGCTCAATGGGGAGTTTTACTCGATGACGAGTTTTTGGAAGCATATGCAGATGGCATTGTAATTGAGTGTTGTGATGGGATCAAGCGTAGATTCTACCCAAGGATATTCACATACTCAGCAGACTATCCTGAGAAGTGAGTTATTACCTTGAGACACTAGGTCGGAAGCTTACCGCAACAGAGTTCTTGTTGCGACCATTCATCAGTTAGGAGGATGCCCTTGCCCTAGATGTCTCATCCCAAAAAATAGACTGCACAACCTTGGCATGCCACGTGATGGGCAGCAAAGGATTACACTCCTGCGTTCAAGTGAAGAACGTGATCAGTTGGTGACCACAGCAAGACAGATCATCTATGACAAAAATTATGGCGTCGATAGCACCGCAGTAGAGAATATACTCAAGCCCTGCTCCTGGGTGCCTACATGTGTTAGTAATATTTCATTGCTCATTTACCCAACTGACCAGTCCCTCTAGAATGTCCTGTCTAATAGACTACGTCCTCACGGCTTCAATGTGTTTGAAGCCTTGGTTGTTGATCTTCTCCATGAAGTTGAGCTCGGCATATGGTGCTCACTACTTGTTCATTTGCTAAGGATCATACAATCAGTGAATAAAGATCTGGTCCATGAGTTAGACCAGTGGTAATTAATGTTATCGCTACCTTTTGTCCACAGAATGCTGATCATTCACTCTAGATATAGACTTGTACCACCATTCAGACAGTCAACTATCAGACGATTCACAGCGAATACTTCTGACTTGTCAAACATGGCCGCTCGTAATTTTGAAGACTTACTTCAGGTATGTTGACTTCTATGCTACAATAAGTCAACTGAGTCTCTTTTCAAGTGCGCTATACCAGTATTTGATGGACTGCTTCCAAACAATAATCACAATAAGATCATCCAAGATCTACTGTTTACCTTGGCGCATTGGCATGGCTTAGCCAAGCTGCGGATGCATTCAGACCTAACATTAGAAATTCTTGATACAACAACTGTTGATCTCGGTAACCTGTTTAGACGATTTAAGGAGGTCGTCTGTGCATCCTATGATGCAAGAGAACTAGATAGGGAAGTAAATGCTCGTTCAAGGTATCAGGCAAAGGAAGCTACCAGAAGATCTCAGGTGGACAAGGGCAAGAAAACTGCCGGTCAGGCAGAGAAGGTGACATTGACTGCAGACAAACCATTACGCAGGAAAGTGTCATTCAATCTCCAGACCTACAAATTTCACTGCCCTTGGAGATTATGTCTCATGCATAAGACACTTTGGTACAACTGACTCTTATAGCACAGAGCCTGTATGTTTCCAAGCACCTCAGGTCTTCTTGGTTTTGACCGCTTTGATAGGGAGAACTAGAGCATCGCACTGGCAAGGGAAGATACCTCTGGACAGATCGAAAATCTTTTATCAGACAACTCACACAAATCGAACTGTCGCCAAACTCGAATCAGGCGCATCAAGAGTCGTCTTCAACAGACACAATCAGGTGATGCAGCAGATATTACAACGAGTAATCCTTCTGTACATTATCACATTGGCCAGAGTGAGAAAAACCACGATGATATCGGCTCCTATCTTCGAGCTAGAGAGGGTGACCCCGCTATAAAGGTATGTAACTATTGACGATGCATACATTCTCTCATCTGATTTGCTTTTTATAGAATTACTTTTCACGCTTGCGAGATCATCTTCTCGGTCGTATTCAACTCTCTCAATCTGGTCAAGAAGCAGAAGGAGATATCGCTAACATTCTCTTCAAACGAAATCGCATTTACCACCACAACATCGCTCAAATCAACTACACGACCTATGACACTAGGAGGGACCAAGACGTCATCAACCCCAAAACTTGGCACTGCAACATTATGGTCCTCAGCAACCATGGTGAACCTAGAACGCACTACCGCTACGCCAAGGTATTAGGCATCCACCATGTCAATGTGGTTTATATTGGCAGTCCGTACCATACCACCCATAGATTGGAGTTTCTTTTTGTGCGTTGGTATGAAGAAGTACATGTTGACTCTGGCATCACTACATTGCATCACCTTAAATTTCCTCCATTGGATAGCGAGGACTCTTTCGGGTTTTTGAATCCAGCTGACGTCCTCAGAGCATCTCACTTGATTCCTTGCTTCTCCAAAGGAATGAAGCATAAGGATGCCAGAGGTTTATCCGGCACAGCTGGTGACAAAGGAGACTGGTGTGAATATTATGTCAATAGGCGAGTGCGCTGAAACTTCCTAGTACTTCCTATCCACTGATCATCATTTAGATTTGTTGACAGAGATATGCTCATGCGGTTTCATTATGGTCTTGGGGTAGGCCATATTTACTCTCATAACGACAGGTTTGATATCGAGGGGCTTGTCATTCACGACATTTCTGATGGTCTAGACATTGATGGAGACAATCTAGACCATCGGGAGCCAGATGATGAAGACTCAGATTATGACTATGCTGGGGTTGAAGAAGAAGTTTTATTTGGCCAGGAGAAAAATGGAAGCACAGAATCTGTTGTGGAGGAGCTGGACAACATGTTCATTGAACATGAGTTTGATTATGAGCCCTAGACCTCTCTACCCTTGCCCTGTCACTGCCCTTCTGTCGTCCTATAGTGGTGTGACTACGACATCTCTATCATAGTGCATTCAATTATGTTCAAATTTATGAGCACGAGTCCGATTTATGAATGTTCAAACCCTAGGCCTCTTTGCACATGCCCTCAGGCTATCACTGCCCTTCTGTCGTGCATACCTACTATCACGGCATAGTGCATCTAATTATGTCAAAGTCTTTACTAATTTCTCATGAGTTCATTCAATGTTCAACCCTACTACCCTAGACCTCTCTGCACATGCCCTATCACATCCTTCTGTCGTACGTCATAACCTCAGTGCATCAATCTGACCCATGGCCCGCCACCATTGAGTATGAATACTCATAGGTAACTCACTCAATTCATTCTCACTGCTCGTGCCAGTCCAACTCTTCAATTATGACTTACATATACAACCATATACCCAGAATCATCACCGGGTTTGAACATACGGTGTGTACTATTTGTACAGCCATCTGCATTCAAATTTTTACTAAAATAACTCGAACGTTAGGAGGAGGTGATTTTTTCCCTCCCTACTATAAGATGAAGAACTATATTATATTGCAGGGCAGCTTCAGTGACCTGAGGCTGGATCTAGACTTCGCATGTTACATATTGTCCCAGAGAAACATTGGACCTTGTTATGTGAGTCTATTCCTACTAAAGTTTGTTGACCATTCATATCATCATACATCTATAGTGGCCTACAAAAGTATCCATGGATGACTTTTGGCCTCTCCAAAAGGATCCCTTAGGATATATTGGCATGACGGTCATAGCGGTCCCCTCATCAAGTCTTCCGGAAGAGCTGAGTACGAGGTTTTGGTACCCATCTATGGTCTTACCGTGCGAGACCTCGTTACCTCGATTTTTTGGACGTTAACATATCTTGTCATACAGCCCCAAGATAAGGACGAACTTAGCCACAATGTGGAAGTAGTATCTAGAGTTTATGATCACCGGTTAATTGCAGTCTGGATGTGGCCTGAATGTAACTTTTGTCCCTCCGCCTCTTCATCATTAGCTGACTACAGCAGTGGATAGGAAGTTCATCGCCAAGCTGGCACCGTGGCCTTATGGCCATTACAATGAGGCCATTTTTGATGGCCTGGACGATATCATAGATGGTATGGTCACTGAAGATTTTGACGATAGTTCTGTTGGGCAGGTATACACGGAAGACTATACTACTGCGTCTTTCCAGCAAGATTACTGTACGTGTTTCGCTTCCTGGGAGTGCATTGACTGATTATGATAGGGCAAGCATATAACTTCACACCTAGCTCCAGTGCAATAGGTTCAGCGCTGGTACCTGGAATTACACCCATATCACCGCTGGCCCAAGCGACTGCACAGACACCTATTCAAGCATCAGCTCCAGTACCGGGCAATACTACCATCGCAGACTCCGACGTTCGAGGATTTCGTCAATGTAGATGAGTTAATGCTCCCTCAGATCATCCATTTACCAGAGGACCTGCGCTGGACAGAGCACAGCCCATCAGGTGACAGTTCGCGCTGTCAGTCCATCTTAGGGGACCTACCAGTCGATCATCCGTGGTTATCAATTGCGAGATCATTAAAGATGATACTGTTTGGAAGTCTCATCACGGGGCGCTATGGCAATGCCATGAGGGTGGTCAAGTTATGGCCATATCGACATCAATTCATCACCCAGTGCTTCTTGGAGGCTTTGTTGCAGTATCAGCTTATCTTACCAGGACTGTCAAAATATTGATTGCAAGTACTATTTCGTTTATCTTTAGTTTTTGAACTGATGCTAGCTGTCTGTCTCTAGTGGAGTTTACGACTGGCAGTGAGATTCCATTGGCATCATCTGCGTGGCACGGTGAATATATTATTATTTTTTCAAATGTCGACGATGACAAATGATATAACTAGTTTGACCACACACCGAATTCAAGTCTTTCGGATCTTAGGAAAGTGATAGGGCACTGTCTGAAGCCTTCCGAGGATCTGGGCTTCTGTCTTAACACTGATGAAGGGCAAACGAGGATTGTGAGGATGACAGCTGTGCTTGATCAAGCAGCAGTTCAGCTCGATCAAGGACAAGACCAAACACTAGTGGCCTTTGACGTGAGTTGAATGTATCACTAAATCATTTACCTCATTTCATTTCTTAGCATCGTATTGTGATAGAGATACTTGGCCTCCAAATGGCAAAAGAACTCTGGCATTATATGATTCTTCGCCCAATCGCATCTAACCCAAATGTCTGCGTTGCTGACTTATACTGGGATCAAGTTCTTGACCAAGGGGGAAATCCTAATATGAGGATAATCTCTCTTATAGTGTGTCTCGTCAGTGACTTATATTTTTCTGTTGTTAACTTAGTTTTGACTTTTATTTTAAGTTCTACGAATACTGTCAGAAAGCACTCAATCGCAATCTCAACAGGACAGGTGACACAGCTGTGATCAAGCTTTATCGTAGAATTGGGCACCTTCATGGTCCTCCTCTGATGGAGATTCAAGACATTGGACGTGATCTGGGATACATCAGGTAATTCGTTCAATCTTCATTTCCTACAATCAACTCAAGTCTCCGATTTGCTTCAGAGACATCAATGTCTATGGTATAGACAAAGACGGAAAGTGCAGGAGAGCGAATATAGGTGCCCTTATTAGAATCTATGATCATGCTCCATCTCAGGGCACAGTGGACGCACAATACTTACAGCCTCCGATTGACGATTCTTTTTTTAACATCAAGTCGAGGCCTTGAATAATACATTAGTATAACCTGTGTAGTTTCTCCACGTTGACTTCAACTTGCATCCTATACTACCATGTATTCTGAGCTTCTCTATTTCAGCATTGTTGCACCTCACTCTCACTTTCTTCACGAACAAGGACAACCGAGACAACCTTTTGAAAGCTCTCTGATCTCAACCTCCCCCTTACTTTCTGTATGTATGGACTATTGCTTATTTTTTTTGCAGGCCACACTCAGCGCTAATTTCTCGGCGAGAGGGATCAATACCACATCCGCCTGTTCCAGAGTTACTTGAGAACCTAGAACTGAGGTGTGTACATTTCTCTTTTGTATGTAACTTTTCATGTTGATCTAAATGTCAGGCCCTTTTCAGACCTCTATGTCTACTGCTCCTGGTAGATAGTAACAAGCCATTGACCGTACCCTTCCACACTTCCAACTGTATGTACACTTTGTTTCACCCTTATTTTGATCCAGTTGCCACTATTTATACAGGTGGAATGAATGGACAACATTACCCATTCAATACCGTGATAGTCCATTGTCTTACTTCAAGTCTTGCCCATGCGATCACTTGTAGTTCCCATCTGGTAAGTCTTCTGTTCTGTTTGACACATGCTAATTTTTTGTTGGTTCTCTGCACCCGCCAATCATACTTCCGCAGGGGGAAGAGAGTCTCTTTGCGACCTTATTCTCTTCGCCTCATTATTCTTCCCCAGGAGGGCGGGCAGGGACAGCATGGCTATGAGTATGGCTAGTGTTTGTACTTCAAGTCTCTCGCCCTTGAGATCACTTGGAGTTCCCGTCTGGTAAGTTTTTTGTTCTGTTCGACGCATGCTAATTTCTATTTAGTTCTCTGCACCCGCCAATGATACTTCTGCAGGGGGAAGAGAATCTCTTCGCGACCTATTCGCATCCCCCGATGATTCTTCCCCAGGAGGGCGAGCAGGTACAACATGGGTATGAGTATGGGCAGGGGGAGTACTATGAGATGGGGAACATGCAGCAGTACTAAACATTCTACATCTGGTGCTTGTTTCCTATTTTTTCACGATCTTTGACGTTTTCTTCCTCTTTAGCGGTTCACACTGCAGCGGTCTATATTGCTATGTAGGGTAGTTCTCTACACCCGCCAACGATGCTTCTGCAAGAAGAAGAAGAGAGTCTCTTCGCGACCTATTTGCATCCCCTGATGATTCTTCCCCAGGAGGGCGAGCAGGTACAGCATGGGTATGAGTATGGGCAGGGGGAGTACTACAAGATGGGGAATAGGTATGTTATTATGTAGTAGGACTCGGAGAATGTCAGTGTGAGATGAGACAGGATAATTAAGAAAGTAAGTCGACATAAACCAAAGTAGAGCATCATCTAAACGGAAACATCCAGGCCTGTATCATGATATTTAAGCCAGTTCAGGTAGACTTTTTTTCAAGAGTGTATCGTACCTATCTGAATATTGCTGCAAAGTTTGTCGCTGCATGGAAAACTGCATGCACGGCCGCTCTCATGGCACTCATAACTCCCTGGATGGCCCTTCTCAAAAGTGTTCTCAATCTCTGTCCGGTGCTCATGCTAGCACTGATGGCGGGAGTGTTAGCAGTAGTGTTAGCGGTAGCATTAGTGGTAGTGTTAGCGGGACTATTATTGGGAGTGACGATGGGCGAGATGGCAGGAGTGGATGCGATGGCATTAGACTACATGACGATAAGTTGATGGTCTACACTAATTAGTACTTACATACCATTGCCCAAAAAAAGTCAGCCTGATTCTACCACATTTCATTAGCCGAGCACATATTTCACAAAAGTCCTTACAATGATCGTCCTCGGCATGGTCCCCATCATTCCGTTCTCACTGAATACATCGGAGCCCATTTAATTTGATTGTGCTGTTATTGTTGGATCAGGGGGCAATATGTCTGCTTCCGGGTATCTATTACGTACAGAATTATGTGTCAATTGAAGTTCTTTGTCACATATGATTATGTGATGTGTCACAATCATCTGATCATGTTGCGCTGAGTCATTCACTGCAGAGACAGTAGCTAGCCTAAGACTCTAAGCAGACCATTTTTTGACTTCACCTTATCAATTTTGCTGTCGGATGGGTAAACCCGTAAACCACAAGCGCCCGTCCGCACTGAAGTCTTCTCAGGGAAGCTTATCGACATGTCCGTCTTACAATTGCCTCCACTGCTGGCTTATCACCCTGCTCTTGGACACATGTATAACCGGTGAATTGGCAGTTGCATTATAGGGCACATAAAACCCACAAATAGTTCCACCGCAAACCCCTACTCGGATGAACAAAACAGCATAATAGCAGTACACATAAATATGTAGATGTTAACAATACAGTGTCCGATTTAAAGCACATCTCACTGGTTTCATCACATATGATGACGCGGACATCGCCAACTATATTGCGTCTCTCCCTCCTTCACGGGGTCCTCCCTTACCGTCGACCAACACAAGCTTGCAAATACCTGACTATTCAACTCTGCAAATACAAGATTTCGACATCGATTTACGGTAACTTTCAGCAAGGTAAAATTTCGATATTATGTTCAAGTCCTCGTTACTAATACTTACTACACTATGATAGCAGACCGCAACACCACCTGCCCACATTCAAGTTCACGACCACCTGCAGAATACAGGGTCCAATGGCAAGTGCTATCTAGTCAACAAACTGATGCTAACTATTAGATCGTCCGCTGCTATGTAGGCTATTGATATACCGCTGCAGCAGGACCGCGTCAATTTTACCTAGCCTGCGGGAGACACAATATTTGATAAGTCCAACGAGTTCGAATTGCCCTTACCTTTATCTTGCCCTGCACAATTGACATCTGGCATTTCAAGGTAATGTGTGAATTCAAATAGCAATGTGATTGGTACTGACAACCTCATGTACAACCAGATACGTGCAGTGTCTTTCATTCAGATATGGGGGTATCGATCTCAATTGTCTAAAAGCCCATCATTGTCAGGCACAGCAACACCCAACCCTTCGCTACCACTCTGACGGTAGTTGTGACTCGATTGCAGTGTGTTCAACATGCAACCCGTGCGACTGAAACTGGTAGGGCTGTGACTGGATTGTGATGTGCCCCGGATTTGGCTTTGCATAAGGTAGGCACCCGTCATATCTTGTCGTGCATGCTCCGGGCACGTATGTGAACAGTCTGACATGGCAGGGGCACCACTCGACCGTCTTTGAGCATCACCTTGGGGTGTGTACATTGCGGAGGGAGAGCAGAGAGGAGGCAGCAAGCCTGCAGGATGTGGAGGATCGTAGGTACATCTAATGTCAATGAGTACTGTGTCCTGTGATTTTAGCAAGCCTGTACGTACTACTCACACCATCTGGCACGAATAAGCAATTGGTTATTTGATTATACTTATTTCGAAACACTGATTTTAAACACTGATTTTGTGCGCCGATGGCACCATTCCTCAATAATTTCAGGAAATCTGTGGCCTGCTTACATCCAAGATAATGCATGTGTCATGAAGACCTATGAGCTTATCATATTTTAACTCATGGACATTGGATATCTAAGTGCTACTGTTTCCAACACTATCACCAAAAAATGAACACCAGATAATTGGAGATGACTAGAGGTGAAAGATGGTAGCCCCAGGCCAGAACATTGTCTAGGAGACTTGTAATGACAAGAGGGTGCCAAGGGCAATCAATATTGAGCCTGTATCATAACTCATGGACGTTAGATATCAGGGTGCTACTGTATGGCCAAGTCTTCCAACACCACCACCAAAAAGTGAGGACTAGATAATTGGAGATGACCAAAGGTGAAAGGTGGTAGCCGCAGGCCAGAGCATTGCCTAGGAGACCTGTGATGACAGGAGGATGTCAAGGGCAATCAATATTGAGCCTGTATCATAACTCATGGACATTAAATTTCTAAATGCTACTGTATGGCCAAGTCTTCCAACATCATCACCAAAAAGTGAGCGCTAAATAATTGGAGATGACTAGAGGTGAAAGATGGTAGCTGCAGGCCAGAGCATTGCCTAGGAGACCTGTGATGACAGGAGGATGCCAAGGGCAATCAATATTAAGCCTATATCATAACCCATGGGCATTGAATATCTAAGTGTTAGTGCATAGTCAAGAACTAACAAGGTTGATGCTTATTTATCATGTTTGTTTACATTGATCACATCTAACTAGAAAAACCTAGGCCTCGGCAATTTCCTGATGCTGTGGTGTCCCAATAATCCAGGATCGCCTCAAGTCCGACGACTCATATGTGACAGCTCTTGCTACGCTGGTGCATTGTATTCTCTACTGGAGTACTAGTTAATTGAACCTCGTGCAGGTGGAAGCCAGAGTCCCACTTTTCTGCTCAGAATTGAAAGACGATGCTTGCGCACAGGTGACAGCATATTACCGTCTCGGGCCTGATTGTGTCGACACCGCAAAAGCTTTGCTTGTCAATCATGTTTATCATTATGAGCAGCATTTCAATGTAGGTGGCTATATTCTGGGTCACACATGCTGATTTACCCGGTGGCTGCAGGAGAAAAATATTCCAATTGCATAGTCAAAAAAACCGTACTTCGCTGAGATCTTGCCATATCTGATGAGAGGGCGCTACTTCAACGGGCCAAAGTCAGTTGGCATGAAATTTTCGGACCGTTTTGAGGAGATCGCGAGCAACAAGGCCCAACGGCCCGAGGTGACGATTCCAATGGTGGCCTTAACCAGTACTTCGGTATATTTCTTGATCCAGTCCAAGGTTATTGTATTGACGAGTGCACAGGTATATGCTGCGCTTCTGTGGAAGGCCAATGGATCTCCATCCAAGTTCAATTTTACAGGCAATTTATTCAGCGAGGTCTACTTTTTTCATGTGAAACTTCTCGAGAAAATGAAGGGGGCCGCACCAGGCAAGTTTCATAAAATGATGGCCAATATTTTTGATGCTATCCAGTGAGTTGATTTCTGCATTGTACTATTGACTATCGTGTCCGAGTCTCACCTCTCCATAAGACAACTCTCCGCCAACAGCAACGCTGCTCTCGTCGGGTCACACGACTCCGCAATGGCATTCCTCGATCTTGATGGTATGGATGACGAAGAGTAGATTTCTGGGTTGACTGGCAGTTTCGTGTTAAATAGTCACATTCATTTATCTTCTTTTTTGCATTATGACTCATTCTCTTAGAAGTGCTCCTTTCTCGTCTACTCAGCTGTGTTGACATATCCCTCATTTAATAAAAGCTTAATTTGTTCTTGTAAAACGTTCGAACGAAATCAAAATCCTGAGCCGTCATCATTGATGTCATCATGTTCCGTGATAACTCATTGTAAATTTGCATACAGCTTTGTAAATTTATTATAATTATCACTAAACTAGTGAGCGCGAGTGAGATATGGTGGGGCAGTAAAAAACTTTCTCTAATTCACTAAGGTGCCTACTTTTGTGAAACTATCGGGAATTAGAGAAAATTTTGTCAAATTCCACATACTTAGCCTAGGTTTATAGCGGAGGGTTTTCCTGATGGACCCAACGCACTGTCCTATGACACGCAATAGCAGCTTCTGGTACAATTCACCCTGCGTTCCTGAATAACCAGGCAATGCAATATCGAATGTCGAGTCTAATCCTCCAGTAACAAGTGATACTGTGACGAATGCCATCTTCTCGTATGCAGAACGATAATGGTGAATTTTGCATGCTCGCCATAGGAGACTGGAAAAGGTTTACTCCTCAATATTCAATCTACGTCACTAGACGTACATAAATTTTGAAGATGAATTTTGTCACTTTGCAGGAAAAGTCGGTTTATCCCATAGTCGACTCGGAATTATATAGCGTCATCAAAATCCAAGTTGGAGCCTGCGTATTTAGTACTTTAGTAGTGGTTTGTTCCAGCTAGCTGTCAACACGTTTAACGTTTGCACACGACAAGACCAGTACATGGAGTCACCAGTGAAACAATATTTGGTTCTTCACTGGCACTTCGTTTCATTCATGATTCAGCATAAATAACCATGACTCGACGTTGTTTCTGTAGCAGAGAGTGAGTTGCATAGCAAATATGAAGACTAGATGTTCGTCTTCACCTTCTTCCATATCGACGTTATCATCATTGTCCTCTGAGCTTGTGCTTCAGGGTCAAACAAAGACAGAGAGGTCGTCCGGGCCGGTCTACTACTGACTCTCTGCACTTACTCGAAGAGACCATCAAAAATGCCTGGAGATCCCACAAGGTGGCATCCGTGCTATTCCTCGACATCGAGGGAGCATTTCTGAACGCGGTAACAAAGCGCCTACTCCACAACATGCGCAACCATCGCATCCCAACTGACCTAGTCCTATTTACAGAGCGTGTCCTATCCCAACGCCAGACACAGTTGAAATTCGACGGATATGTTTCGGAATGGTTCCCCGTCAAAAACGGTATAGGGCAAGGAGACCCCCTGTCAATGATCCTGTATATAATTTATAGTTCTGACCTAGCTGACATCGCCAAACCCCGCGCAGGACGCAAAGCCTTGAAAGAACTAACATTAGCTTTCGTAGATGACACGGCTCTCATAGCGATAGTGCAGGACTTCACTGCGACCCATGCCATACTCACAGACATGCTCGAATGAACAGGAGGCGGTTACGATTGGTCGAGAGCTCATAACTCCCAATTCGAAACTAATAAATTTGCGTTAATGGATTTTTCGATGAATAGATGCAAAGACCGCCCAGAGATGCCGATAAGAGGCACAGTAATACATCCATCCTCAACACACCGGTTCTTGGGAGTAATCCTCGACCAAGAATTGCGATGGAAAGCGCAAGTCGATAACGCAGTCGCAAAAGGAACTTCCTATGTACTCCAGTTACGTCGTCTCTCATCCTCCGCTAAAGGCTTACCGCTACGTCTCATGCGACAGCTCTACCTGGCAGTAGCTGTGCCCAAGCTACTGTACGCAGCCGACCTATGGTTCTCCCCCATCTATCGTGAAGGTACAAACGACCTCCAACGAGGCTCCATAGGCGTAGCGAAATGCCTATCAATGGTCCAGCGTCTAGCAGCAGTGGCGATCACCGGGGCTATGAAAACCACCGCAACAGATATAATGGAAGCCCACGCAAACCTACTTCCCATCCCGCTCCTCCTACAGAACATGTGTCATCGCGCCGCCCTCCGAATAGCCGCCCTACCAAACACCCATCCCCTGCACATCCCAATCCGCAAAGCAGCCAAACACTACGTATCAGCCCATCGCACCTCCCTCCACCAACTCACCTCCCGCTTCAATATCTCGCCAGATACCATAGAGACTCTAACCCCGGCACGACGTCCCCCTTCCAACACGAATCGCTGGAAAGCACACGTCGCAGATAGCAAGAAGGAGGCTATAGAAGAACATGAACAACTCACTGACCTCATACAGATATATAGCGATGGTTCGGGCCATAACGGTCAAATAGGCGCAGCGGCAGTTCTCTTTCGTGCAGGGCAGATCCCTAGAACCCTCTGCTACTACCTAGGAAAAGAGGACGAACATACCGTATTCGAAGCTGAAGAAGTAGGATTATTGTTAGCCGCGCACCTTCTAGCTACAGAACGAGACCTGACCTTTCCAGCCTCCATCTCAGTCGACAACCAAGCTTCAATTCTAGCAGGTGAGAGCTTCTACCCGCGACCTGGATCATATCTGGCAGATCTCTTCCGCAGCAGAATGCACAAGATAGCGCGCGAGTACGACGACTTTGATGTAACACTACGTTGGGTTCCGGGTCACTTGGGAGTCCATGGCAATGAAGAAGTGGATAAGCATGCCAAGCTGGCCGCAACCAGCCGCAAGAACAACAGCCCCAATAATCGCTTACCCAAAATCCTACGCAAGAAAGCCCTCCCCTTAAGCATATTGGCCGTGCAGCAAGCTCAGCACAAGTCCACAGCCAAATGATGGAGCCACTCCTGGCGTAACTCCCCGTGATTCTTCAGACTCAACCAAATCGACCCACTCATTCTACAATGCTCATTTATAAAACTATCCATCTCCTTTCCCAAACGCCTCACAAGCATGTATATATTCCTACGCACCGGCCACGCTCCTTTAAACAAACATCTTCACCGCATTAACAAAACTAACAGCCCTCATTGCCCTCACTGCCCAAACATCGAAGAAACCGTACATCACCTAATCCTTGACTGTCCGTTCTATGCACGCGAACGCCACTCCCTCCGGGCAGAAGTAGGGCCCAAAGCCTCCTCCCTATCCTTCCTCCTAACAGATATATCCGCCACCCCTCATATTGTAAAATACATCAATGCAACAGGAAGAATGAAAGCAATACTAGGTGACATCCCACTTCCACGTACCCCTGCTAGCTGACGCACCCTTGCAGTAACCCGCCTCTGCTCATCATGCCAGACACCATATGAACACCCACCAACATCAAATACCCCACTGTACAACAACCATCTCACCATACTTCTCCCCAACCCATATACCCAACCCAACCCATATACCCAATAACTCGCCTACACGGAGTCCTCCCGATCATCGTTGGAACAACTCAGCTTGTGACAGAACATCCCTTCAGCCAAGACATGGGAACCATACACAAACTTTACCTACGCACCCAACCTAGACTCCTGTACCTGCCCGCCTCGGCGGCCGAGTACGCGTTTTCGTTCATCCATACGCTAGAAAAACATTAGCATTAGTTACATACAATCATCTCATCTTCGCCGGGTTGCGCGTCTAAAATGGCCGGCGGGAACGGCAGACTAGTGGAGGTACGCCTCACACTAGGGCATTCACGAACTCAGAGATGCACAGGGACACTGGGGGTCCCTTAGACTAGATAGAACTGTCCTCCATAGAGTATAACTCTCAATAGGACAGAAATTGGAAACAAAAAAAAAAAAAAAAAACAAAGACAGATTCCTGTGTCAGTGTCACTTTCTGCAAGCTGAAAGCTGAAATTGTGTGCGCCTCGGCATCCTTGCCTGGCCAGTGTCAGAGAGAAGGTACACTTTGATGCTCCCTACATAGTTGAATGGTGTAGCACGCTCTGGATCGAGTGAAAACTTGGCATTGAATCGCAAGGAACGGTTTTATTGTATGATGATGTGGTAAGGTCCGGCGCAGAGATGCCATGAGGAAAAGTGTCCATCAGCTACATGATTTCAAGTTATAATTCACCAAAATTACAATTGCTTTGAAGGTCCGATCGAAAGTGTTTCCGCTGAAAGTTGTCCCAGACTTGTATTAATGGTATAAGAAGAACCAACTAGAATGCAGTAGGTAGCACGAAAATCATATGCCTCATTCAATGGCATGGCTGATTGTGTGCACCGTGAATGCATCGCTAGCCTGACACGAATATACTTCTCTATTTAAAAAAGAGAAATCAGAACACTCCCTTTAACAAGTAAGGCGAGTACCTCTCACGAGAGGGGTACCAGAGACCCAGCAATGGAACCAGCATAAACGTAGTCCATCTTCACGTCCGGCAGCGGGTGATCGCCTGTCCCTTTTTCAAAAGTGTCAATATAGTATCACATTGAGTATGCAAGTACCCTACCAGCATGGCAGTACGGAATTCCATCCTCCTTGTGTCCCCACCACATCACAGGGGACCACTCATCCACGAGGTTGGCGAGCGTCTGGAGGTGGCCATATGCAGCTGGCTGGGGACCGTGCGGTCAGCGTAGTGTGATGAAGGTGAAGAAACAGGAAAATATAAAGAGCGCAATGCATAAGTTCCAGATCTGCGAGAATGTGTGAGAATGTTGTAGCAATTTTACATGGGCAGTAAGTACAAACCTGGGCAGTGAACATAGACATCACCAGAGCATTTATATTCTCGTCAAAGGCTGTCAAAGCTAAGGAGAATGAGAGCCCAAACATCCAGTCTGTGATCATAGAGTGTTCAATAACGCTGACAACAAAATACTAGGCATGAATGACTCACGCAGGAAAGGCTTCGTGATGAAAAGTATGAGACACATCGGATGAATGAAAATTGGCTTCAGCGGGTTCGTCGCCACACTGAGTCCTTTCCTTTTGGTAGCGCATCTCCACTGTCTTTCGTCTCGAATGACATTCACAATTAGCTCTGAGCAA